ACTATCTCACCTCTGAGTATATACGGCCATGCACTCCTTGGATTGTTGATATTTAGTATGCTGTTATGCTATAGTAATCAGATATATCTGTGTTTTGGTATTGAGTATGTTGTTATGGTGTAGTGATCTGTTAGATCTTGGTTTTGGTATCGAGTATGCTGCAGTGATCAATTAGATATGTCTTCTGGTATTGAGTATGTTGCTTTGTGGTAATAAAATGTAGAATTGTATGTTATCTGTGCTTGCTGGTTATCATCTATGGAGTGCCGTTAGGGACTGTCGGTGGTCATATAGGATAGCCTGAGAACTCTTGGTCTAGGCTCTCTTGCCTGTTCCTTGTTTGGTTGTGGCTCTAGAGTATGACCATTTGTTCGGGTGGCTATCTCACATCTGATTACTTATGGTTACACACTCTATGGGGGTTAGCTGGTAGTGGGACTGTATGTTATGAGAGGATTAGTAGGCAGTAGTGAGCTGTATGATTGTTGTTTGCCTGTATTATGTGCCTACTTGATCCTGATTGTTTATATGTCGACATATTGTGTTTGGTTGGGTTGATGCGGTCCTGTTTTGTGCGGTAGGCCAAGATACCCGGTGCGGGCCGACTGTAAGCCGTAGGCACGGAGGCTCGGGAAGAGTGGTAGGTGTGAGGCGGTAGGCCAACAAACCCTGGGTATTCCAGCTCGATGGCTGATTGGACCTGTTGTATATTGGCATTCCAGCCTGAGGTATTCCAACCCGATCGTTGACTGGACCCGGCATGTTTGATTGTATATTTGACCTATTTATATGGTGATATTTTTTGGGGAAACTCACTAAGCTTTGTGCTTACTCAGTTTTTTATGGTTTCAGGTATCATCCGTTATTGCTGGAAGGCGAAGGCGGGACTGTACACACTCATCAGCAACATTCAAGATTCTGCGTTTCTACAATACTCTGATTTTTAATAAATGTAATTCAGAATAAATGGTTTTCTTAATTCGTGGATTAATAAATTGGGAAGTTTTTATCTTAATAAAAATGAAAATTTTTGGTTGTGAAAACGGGATGTTACATCCGGACCACTGAAGAAGATCAAGTGCATTTGTTCGAGAATTGTATATTTAAGCATACTATGATTTTTAAGAATTTATTTCATTTTTATGACACTTTGTTAGAATATGTATAATTGTATTAAAATGTATAAGACTATTATTCTGTAAGAATATGTATGAATCTACATTCAGATGTCCATTAATATATAATGATCTTTATATTTTTCAACTAATGGTTCAAGAATGTTGTCTTTATTCAAGAAGTTCGTTTAATCAAAATATGTATTTTTCCATAAATATGTAACATGACATTCTTATAAAATATCATTCTAACATAATGTCATTCGAATAAAATCGGGTATAATTAAAAATTATGTTAGAATTAAAATTTAATTAATTAAAAAAATCAAAATTTTTAAATGAAGAGAATTAATTATCCCTAAAAATTTGGAATTTTCCTTTTTTAAATTTATCTCATTGATTAAAATACATTTACTGTAAAATTAGATGGTATTTTTCTATTATCTTTAATTCAATAATATGTATTAATCATTTTCTTAAAATAACTAAAATGATTGGTCCACAATCAATCCTACATCCACAAAATAGATAGTTAGAATACAATAACCTAAGCATATATATATATATATATATATATATATATATATATATATATATAATTTGGACCAATTCCCTACATCTATTGTGTGTTCGTAAGCATAAATCTGGACCAATAGATGAATGTAATTAATGATTATGATCTGATGGTCTATGATAGTATAATAGGATAACATGTACAATATAATCACATAAATTTTAACGTAAGGGTATTTTGAACAAATAACTATATTTAAAAAAAGGAAATTTTTAGATTTTTTGGGATAATTAATTCTCCTAATTTTAAAATCTAAATTTTTAAAATTAATTAAATTTTATTTATAACGTAATTTTATATAATAACTGAATTTATTCTAACAGAATGACAACCATAAACTACTAACGATATTTCCGATTTTATTCTTACAAAATATAGCTGCAACTCATATATTTTTTTATAGTTAATATGATTTAAGAATTCTACATATTCTTCATATACATTAAGTGAGAATGAGGGTTACATCCGAACTTAAATACAAATTCATACATATTCTTACAGACTAATAGCCTTATACATTTCAATATAGTTATACATATTCTAACAAAATATCAATAAAAATAAATAAAATTCTTAAAAAATAGCATTCTTAAATATACAATTATTGAACAAATATACTTGATCTTCTTCAATGGTCCAAATAATCCACTTGATTCCAACTATTCTTACGAAAATGTGATGCATTTCCGTAAGAATGTAATTATTCGCAATTATACTTGTTATTGAACTGGATTCCATGTCTTTCTCTTGTATGATCAACATTTGATTGATTTTTCAAGCCATTCTGAAAGATTAACATTCAATACTCGTTAGTATTACTAGTTAAGTAAATATACTTGTTGTTAACAAACATTCTTAAAGATATTCTGACAGAATACATTTATACATTCTATGCTTTAAAATGTTTATACATAAAATACATTCTTCTAGAATATACTATCGTTTGCAATGTTTTCTTTCTTTTCCATATCAGAATGCAAAAAAAATGTTCATGCTAAGAGAATATAAATATTACGTAAAACATATGTTGCTAGTAATTCTAACAAAATACATACCACATGACTAGATTCTTTAGATTCTCTTTCAGGCATTTCAACAAACAAATTCAACAAAGAAGTGCACCACCATGTAAACACATCAACGATTCACTATGGCAAATTATTATATTGTTGCTATTAAAAAATATACCCACAGTAATATATACTGCAAATATTATAGAGAGCTTCAAAGAGTGGTACCTATAGTGATGTAACTTTAGAAGATTAATATTAAATGCTAGTATTTTTGTTTACAAATTTACATATGCATGTTCTTTTTATATTTTTGCATACATGAGATACATAAATTAAAGTAGGATGCTATAGTTTCATAAATGGTCTTTATATAAGACTAAATTTGTCCCAAATTTAAAGTAGTATGGTATTCTGGGTAAAAAGTGAAGGTAAGATGATATGTTTGTTTGAATGTCATTTTTTTAAAAATACAATGTTAATAATGACATAATTTTTGCAGAGTTTAATAAGAATGAAACCAGAAATTATGGAACAATGATGTTACACAAAGAAGTAACACACAAAACAGTATTATAAATATAGATGGATACTTAAACACGATGCGAACATTATTATGTGAGAGTATAAGAAAAAAATCAGAGGAACATGAAGTCAATGGAAAACAAAGAAAAAAGGAAGACCATGAACCAACTAAGCAGATATAGTGACATACACATATACATATATAATGAGATAGGGATAAAAGATTAAGGAAGAAGCGCATACATGTATTTTCCAAATGAAAGCGATTGAAAGGTTCAAGTATTTTTCTTTTCTTTACTTTAGACCATCTCCAACCCACTTCTATTTTTTCCCCAAAAAATAGAGTAAAAAATAAGGTAAATAGTGTTTCATCTCCAACCATATTCCATTTTTTACCCCATCTTTATCCCCAAAAAGTATATTTCATTCTTCCAACTTATATAGATTGTCAAACACACCTCTTCTATTAATATGGTTTTAACAAATATATAATATATATTTTTTTATTACAATAATATTAAACAAATAAGATTATATTCATAACACTTAATTATAAGTTTTTGTAAAATTTGTTACCGTGTTTTAAAATTTCTATATGTATTTAATTTTTTATATGGATTTAATAAACAAAAAAACTTTATATTTATAACTAATTAATATAATTTAATATATAACACAATATTATTAATATTAAATATTACATTTAAATTATAATTAGTAGATAAAAATAAATCAGAAATGTATAAATATATAAAAAGATGGACTAAAACCGACAACTCAAAGTTCATCCCCATTTTGAGAGAAATGAATAGTATAACACCATATTTGGTGTTATACTATTCATTTCCCCCAAAATGGGGTACGGTTGGAGAAGAATGAGGGAAGAAATAGATGAAATAATGGAGAATAAGAGTGGGTTGAAGATGCTCTTAGAGGATTATGAGATAAACACATGTATGAATGGAATACCACACATATATACGTACAATTGGATTGAAATCTGCAGAGGAGATGTGAGGTAAACAATTATGAGTCTTGATATCATGGGATTTTATTCAACAAATTTCGTGAAATGTATAATGAATTCCAAATTTTAAGCATTATGTATAGATTATATGGTTGGTTTTGAATTGCATTTAAAGCTTACCATATTACAATCTTTCTAAACGTAAATTCAAAAAGTCAAATGGATTTAAAATAACCAAGGGTATTAAAATAATTTAACAATGAAAGAAAAATGAATTATGGGAGTGACACGTCATAAAAAGAGTCTTTTATTAAGACAGGATTTATAACATATAAGCATAATGTCATGAATAAGGAATTGTAAGTAATAATTTCACGGGTAAATAATAAAATACATTTAAAATTTCCAGTTGCTATTTTCCATGAAAGTTACTTTTAAGTACATTCGTATTATGGATATAACTTTTTTAAGTACATCAGTAAAAACAAAATAAATTGCCTGATTAATATTAAGAAAATCATGGTTATGTCTTGGAATTTACCCATTTTAATATTTTAATCTGAGTATGGTGGGCACCTTGACCTACTTTAAAGAAAAATCCAAGGAATGCATGAAGGAAGACCAACAGTGTCCTTTTTTAGTAGTTAACTTGCCTTGTTTTATAACGCCGTTTTTTAACTTTTGTGTTGACATTTTTCAACCTAACATGATATATAAAACACATCAAGGAACACCCAAAATCATCACAACTCGACACAAATAACTCTCTCTAAACTTAACTTTGAGATCATCATCAAAACAATAAAAATATGATGTCGTCTCAGCTCCTATTTCAACCTTCTTGGCCACCTCACTCTTCTTTTCATTCGAATCTTCATAATTATGATCCAAAAATAGAAGTTTATGCAGGGGAGCATCACGATTTTTCTTCTTCAATCGCTTACGGGTCTGAAAACTCCTCAACAATTTCATCGGCCAACTTTCCCATGTTATCCTCTGATATGCATAACCCTTCATCGGTAAACATGGAGGGATTGGATGATGTTTGTGGATGGTTGTGTGTTGATGATCAACAGATGGAAGAGATTCCAACCAAAAGGTCTATCGGAGGTGACCATGTATTGAGTCCCAACCAAAGCGACAAATCCAGTGCGTCTTCCGTATGTATACCATCAGAAAATTATCAGTCACCAATGGAACGAACAGATGATTCCATGGAAAGTGAGTCCCAAGCAGGAATACATAATCTACTAATGGCTTATGCAGATGCTATGGGAAAGGGACAGGGAGAACTTGCCACAGTGATAGTGAAATGCATAAGTGAAAAGACCAACACCATTGGGTCACCCCTCGAACGCTTAGCCCTCAATTTGTTCCAGCCAGCAGAAAATCAAGGAGAAGCATACCTTAAACAAGAATCAATAAGAAACTTCAATCCAGCATTCAGAGCCTTCTACGATTATCTTTCCTTATGGTCGGTTTGCTCATTTTACATCGAGCTCAGTCATCCTTCAAGCAGTTCCCACCTATGTTGACTCAGTTCACATAGTTGACTTTGACATAGGCGAAGGAACTCAATGGCCTCCTGTGATTGAAGCCATGGCACGAGCAAAAAGATCATTAACCATCACCAGTATCAAACTAGAAGAGCATGTCTTAGGATTTGAGGAGACGAAGAGGCAACTTCTTAACTATGCAAGAACTTTTTGTCTAAATTTGATGGTAGAAGAGATGGAATTGTCACAAATGGTGAAAGGAACCGAGGGCAGAAATTCTGGAAATAAATTTCTGGCCTTTAACTGTATGGTTGGCCTTCCACATATGGGAAGGACAAGAAGAACAACTCAAGTTTTAGAGTTTATAAATATAGCCAAAGGAATTTTAGTGAAAAACAAAGGCATCATAACCTTTGGAGATGGAGAAGAAAGTGAAAGAATGGGGAATTCCCCAGACTACGCTTCATTCTTTAACAAACATTTGGCACACTACAAAGCGTTGTACGAATCAATGAAATGGGGTTTTCCTAGTTATCTCAATGAAGCAAGGATAGCTATGGAGACTCTTTTTCTTGCGCCTTACGTATCATCTTTCTCTTGGTTCCAAAAATGGAAGGAACAAGGAGAAGACATGGTTTTCCAAGAGGGTTTCGGTTTAAAAGGTGAACGGATGAGCATGGAAAGCCGGAATGAAGCTAGAGAAATGGTAAGGGAAGCAGAAACTCCATACAAGATTAGAGTTGAAGGCGATGATCATAATGAAATGGTGTTGGAATGGAGAGAAATTCCATTAGTTAGAGTTTCGGCTTGGAGACAAATCAAATAAGATGTCGAAAGTTTGATACTTAGTTTGTGATATCTTGACCCACATTCTATGTGAATTCTCAAACTTAAATCCCCTTATAAGTCCTAAGTTGTGGGCTACAAGTAGTTTCAACCATAGTTTTAAGTTGATTTGAAAGTTATTGGTTTTGTGTGCTATGACATGTAGCATCACACAGAGCATTATAGACTTGTAAAAACTAGTATATATACTCTACACATTTGCCTTTTTCATGATTTCAATTTCATTCTAATGTCTTTTTTCTTCGGTTTATGTATAATTTGTTTGAAAACTACCTAACATACATATAACAACCACTAAGAATATTGAAATATATTATTTTCCCATAAACTGATTTATCTCGTTAATTAGATAAATAGGAAATTACATGGACCATATGTAACATCCGGATCCTCAAGGTATGAAATTTTAAGTAAAATATGAGTTTTGGGTGGGTCACGACGTGAGGGAAACATCTTCACGTCGTGACATGGCTGCGAAAAACGAGAAGTCTCATTTAAGTGTCACGACGACGTGACACTATGATGGTCACGACGTGACATCTGATCAGGGGCAAACCCTAATTTTCGGACTTGGACCCTATTTAAAGGAAGTGAGGGGCTAGGGTTTCCTTCACCCTCATCCTCCATCACCTCCTAAGCCCCTTGAAGAAACCCTAATTTTCCCTCCTCCATTTTGAGCTCATGTTGGTGCTTTTGGTTGCTTTTGAAGGAAAAAGAAGGCATTGGTAGTGTTGTGAACGTATTGTCAAGCTTTGGGGACTTCATTTGGGCATCTTTGGCCCTTTGTAAGTGTTCAATACCAAAACTTTATTACTCTAGGTCTCTAGATCTAAGCTTTTGTCCATTTATCTTCAAGTTTGAGCAAGTTGAAATGGTGGGATTCCATAAAGTAGGCAACTTTATGGATCCTTGAGGTCCTTTGAGTGTCATATGGTTTAGATCTAGAATTTGCTAGTGTATCAAACCCATGCATGAGATCCTTGGTGATGTTTCTCCATTTTTGACTTATTTTGAGCTTTAGACTCACAATGGACATGCATGGCTGAAAAGCATCGATCTTTAGGTAGTATTGGACATTAGAAAGCCTTTTGGAAGGAATAAGTGAATGGCTTAATGATTTAAGGGCTGAATCCATTAAGCTATGGAAAACCCATTTTCACGTCGTGACTGTAACATCTAAAATTTTTAGGTATTCATTTTTGACCCTTGGTTTGTGATTGGTTTGCAAAATTGGTCCCCCAATGGCATTTTCGTAAAATTTGGGCGCAACATAGATACGTTGGGTGTACACCTTGGTACGCTAGGTGTACCTAGCCCTGTGCATGTACGCAAGGTGTACGCAGTGTTAGACCAAACCCTAATATTTAGGGTTTGTGTTGTGCACTATTTAAGCACCATTATAACCTCAAAACCTTTCTTCTTATCAACCTCCACTCCTAGAATCGACCAATCTTGCTAACCCTAGCGTATTTTGAATATTTTGATCTTTTGAGTGAGTTGTGAGCTTTCTTGTTTGTGAAGGAGGATCATCAAGGAGGTGACTTTGCTTTCAAGACTTTGGATCCAACACTTTCTCTCCTTTGGCCAAGATTGTATGGAGTAGCAGTGATGGTCGTCAGGAGTGCTCTGATTTGCTTCCATTGCAATCAGACCGGTCATAAAAAGGCCTCTGTCAGGAGTAGCAGTGATGACCGTCAGGCCTGTGCCTTCCACTTTGAGGATCACTAAGGGCCGTCAGGCCAAGACAGAGGCACCAGTAGTGAAGAGCAGGGCTTTTCTGCGGACCACCGATGAGGCCCGTGTAGTGCTGGATGTGGTTATTGGTATGTGTCTTACCCCTATATTTTATTGCCTTCTTTATTTCATGCTCATGTTATGCTTGATTCTATATAGGGGCCTTTTTGGTCAACGGTATGACTGCTCATGTTTTGTTTGATTCGGGGGCTACCTGATCCTTCGTATATCTTGCGCTTAGCAAGAAGTTTTGTGATGCTCTGAGTACATTGGATTCTCAACTGGAGGTAGAGATCGCAGATGACCGAACTGTGAGTGTGTCGAGGATTCACCGTGGTTGTGTCATGAATCTATTCAGTGAGAGGTTCTCTATTGATTTGGTGTCGATTCCCTTGATAGGATCGAAGGTTATCATCGGGATGGATTGGTTGCGCCCCAATGGGGCCATGATTGATTTTGAGCGGCAATTAGTGAGAGTTCGAACCCTAAGTTGGGGAGAACTGGTTATTCCTGGCGCGAGAGCTTCGCATGGTCCAACTATCTGTTTAGCTGCGAGGGCCAGGAGATATCTACAATAGGGTTATTCTGGGTTCCGAGCTTATGTTGCAGACACCCGAGTTATGGACACGTCGTAGTTGGGTAGGGTGCCCATTGTGCGGGATTTCCCCGATGTATTTCCCGAGGATTTACCAGGAGTGCCTCCTGAGAGGCAGGTTGAGTTTCAGATTGATCTGGTATGGTGCCGGCTCTGATAGCCAAGGCGCCATATCACCTGGAGCCACCTGAGATGTAGGAGTTTTCTACGCAGCTTCAAGAACTGCTAGACAATTATTTTATTTGTCTGAACAGTTCTCCGTGGGGAGCACCAATTTTGTTTGTGAAAAAAAGGATCACACGGAATGTGCATTGATTACCGGGAGTTGAATAAGTTAACGGTGAAGAATCGTTACCTACTCCCAATGATTGACGATTCGTTTGACCAGCTTCAGGGTGCATTTTGGTTCTCCAAGATGGATTTACGGTTGGGGTACCATCATATGAGGGCCAGGGAGGATGATGTGTAGAAGACAGTCTTCAGGACTCTTTATGGTCATTACGAGTTTGTGGTGATGCCATTTGGGCTCACCAATGCACCAGCAACGTTCATCGATCTCATGAACCGGGTCTGGAGGTCGATGTTGGATCAGTCTGTGAATATATTCATTGATGATATTCTGGTCTACTTTAAGACCAAGGAGCAACATGAGGAACAATTAGGGAGGTGTTGGAGACCCTGAGGAGGGAGAGGCTTTATGCCAAGGTCTCCAAGTGTGAGTTTTGGTTGCTTGAGGTGCAATTTTTGGGGCACATCGTGAACCAGAAAGGTATATTGGTCGAACCGGCCAAGATTGAGGTTGTGAAGCGATGGAAGGTTCCGAGAACCCCATATGAGATTCGGAGTTTCCTAGGTCTCGCATGGTATTAGCGGAGATTTATTCGGAATTTCTCCAAGATTGTTGTGCCCTTGACTCGTTTAACAAAGAAGAATGTGACTTTTTGGTGGGGGCCTGATCAACAGTTGGCTTTTAAGACTCTGAGGCATAGATTGTGTGAGGCCCCAATTCTTGCGCTTCATGAGGGTTTGGATGATTTTGTGGTTTATTGTGACGCCTCTATTTCGGGTTTGGGAGTCGTTCTTATGCAGAGGGGTCACGTGATTGCGTACGCTTCGAGGCAGCTGAAGCCTAATGAGGCAAACTACCCTACGCATGATTTGAATTTGGAGGCTGTGGTTTTTGCCCTCAAGATATGGAGGCACTATTTTTATGGGGTTCGGTGTACTATCTAAAGGATTCTGCCGAATATGAATATGTGGTAGCGGAGATGGTTGGATGTGGTAAAGGATTCTGATTGTGAGATTTTGTACCACCCTGGGAAGGACAATGTGGTGGTTGATGCTTTGAGCCGCAAGGCCGTGTGTTCTTCTATCAGTAATATCTGATTGAGGATGATTGTCACTTCGCCTTTGATGGATTTGATCAAGAAGGCTCATGTGGAGGGATTGAAAAAGGAAAATTGGAAGGCCGAGCGGATTAGGGGACAAGTTCTCTTAGTTGTCAGAGACAGTCAGGGGGTAGTTGACTCAGTGTGGTAGAGTTTGGGTTCCGACATCAGTTGGGGTGAGACAGACAATTCTGGAGGAGGCACATAAGTCAAAGTTTTATATCCATCCGGGGGCCACAAAGATGTACAGAGATATGAGGTTGAGCTATCGATGACCCTGTACGAAGAGGGAGATATCTTGGTTTGTTGAGCGATGCCTGACTTGCAGGAAAGTCAAAGTTGAGCATCAGAGACCCCACGGCAAAATGCAACCCTTACCCATTCCCATGTGGAAGTGAGAAAAGATTACCATGGATTTCATTACAAAATTTCCATGGACGGTATGAGGTGTTGATTCTATCTGGGTCATCGTTGATAGATTGACCAAGAGTTCGCATTCCATACCGATTTCCGAGAGCATATCCGCTAAGAAGTTAGCTAACATCTATGTTCGGGAGGTGGTAGTTCGGCACGGGGTGCCAGTTTCGGTGGTTTCGGATCGGGATGTTCGTTTCACCTCCAGATTTTGGAGGAAGTTTCATGAGGAGTTAGGTACTCAGTTGCATTTTATTACAACATACAATCCTCAGACCGACGGCCAAAATGAGTGAAGGATTCAGACGCTCGAAAATATGCTCCGGGCTTGTGTGTTGGATTTCGGAGGAAGTTGGGATACTTACCTTCCACTGGCCAAGTTCTCCTACAACAACAATTATCAAGCCAGTATCGACCGATTGTCTTTCTAGATGTTGTATGGAAGAAGGTGCAAGACCCCGATTTGTTGGGGGGAGGGAGGTGGGGCATCGAGTCATAGGGATTACTGAGGTGGTACTCAAGACCACTAAGTTGATTCAGCAGGTGCGCGATAGGCTGCGAGTCACGCAAAGCTGATAGAAGAGTTATGCAGACCGACGACGTTCAGACCTCGAGTTTCAGGTGGGAGATTCGGTGCTTCTGAAGGTGTCACCTTGGAAAGGGTCATCCGATTTCAGAAGCAGGACAAGCAGGGCCCCAGATTCATTAGTCCTTTTAGGATATCAGCCAAGGTGGGCAGGGTTGTAATTCAATTGATGAAACTCTATCATTGTAAGTTGTCATATTGACATTCAATGAATTTGGACTCCAATAGTCATTGAACTATTCAATGAAAAAAAAATGTTTTCT